CTTTACTCTGTATCTAACCCCATGCTGTCCCTGTCCCTGGGAGTGTTTGATGGGGGGGGGACAGTGTAGAGGGAGTTTTAAACTATAGAATTGCAGCAGTGTGGAAACAGGCCGTTCGGCCCAACAAGTCCACACTGACCTAAGAGAATGCCATCTTTTCTCCGCAGGGGGTCCATGCCATGTTGTGGAGTTGCCATGTAAACACTTTGCTGATGAGCACAAGCTGGCGATGCTGGTGAAGTGGACCCTGGAGAAGGTATTTAACTGGGTTCTCGATTCACTGTTGCTGTTGCAGGGTAAACGGCCAGTCCCCTTCAGGGTGAAATCTGCTGTTTGAAGCTCCGTTCTTGCAGGAACCATTGCTCTGTGTGTGAGTGTGTGTGAGCAAATTCGATAATGAAGATATTCCAACCGTCACTCACCAGCCCCAGGACCCTCGGTCTGACTGAGCCCTCACCACAACACAGTCTCCTCACAATCCCACTCTCCATCTCCACGTTCTCAATCTCTCCCTCTCTCTCTCCCTCTCTCACTCTCTCTGTCCCCATCTCTTTTCTCTCTCCCTGTCTTTCTCTCTCCTCCCAAACTTGTCTCTCTCAAATACCCCTTCTCTCTCTCTCCCTCTACCCCTCTCTGTCTCCCCTTATCTCCCCATCACTCTCTCTCTTCTCCCGCACTCTGTCTCCCTCTCTCTCTACTCTCTGTTCTCCCCTTTTTCTCTGTCTCTTCTCACCTCTCTGTGTCTCTCCCGCTCTCTCCCTCTCTTTCCCCCATCCTCCACCCCTCTCCTTCTCTCTCTCCCCGTTTCCATCTTTCTGTGTCTCCTTCTCCCTCTCTCTCTCCCCATCCCTCTCTCCATCCCTTCCCCTCTCTCTGTATCTCTCACTCACCCCTCCTCTCCCTCTGTGTCCCCCTTATCCCTTCCTCCCTGTTCCCATCTCCCTCTCTACTTCTCCCACTCCCTGTCTCTCTCCCTGTCTTCCCTCCCTCTCCCTCTTTCTCTCTGTCTCTCCCTCCTTCTCCCTCTCTCTCCTTCCCTCTCCCTCTCCCTCCCTCTCTCCTGTGAGGATCCTGGTGTGTGGTTTCCGAGATTGCTGATGCTATCCTGACTCTCTCCTCCAGGGAAATTGTATCTTCATGTGCACCTTGTGCCCAAGAGGGGGGATCCCCTGGCAGACCATTCGCCAACTGCTCCAACTGCCCGAGGACGAGCTGAGGATCTGTGAGAGCAAACTCGTGGCGAACGCACAGAAACTATCGATCCTCCTAAATAAGGTCAGAGCGAGTGGTACTGGCCCCTGTTCAACTTCAGCCTCATCTCACTCTCTCCTGCCGCAATATTCCTGATGGGCAGCTCCTTCATACAGCTTCCTCCTCAGGGAATATGGTGGGAAACTGGCTCCGAGCCTGGGTGAAGGGTGATGGGGACAGTGTAGAGTAAGCTTTACTCTGTATCTAACCCCGTGCTGTCCCTGTCCTGGGAGTGTTTGATGGGGACACAGTGTAGAGGAAGCTTTACTCTGTATGTAACCCCGTGCTGTCCCTGCCCTGGGTGTGTTTGATGGGGGACAGTGTAGAGGAAGCTTTACTCTGTATCTAACCCCGTGCTGTCCCTGTCCTGGGAGTGTTTGATGGGCACAGTGTAGAGGGAGCTTTACCCTGTATCTAACCCCGTGCTGTCCCTGCAGTGCCCAGTGTGTTCCAGCCTGGTGCAGCGTGTGTCGGAGAAGGAGCTGATGGTGACCTGCCCATCGTGCCCCGGTTCCGGAGGGAAGGATCACCGATTCTGCTGGGAATGCCTCCGAGTTTGGAAAGGGGATCTGGGAGATCAATGTGGATATGGAGACTGCAGATGCCTGGTGCTGCTGAGATCATGCTCAGTCATTAATGCACCGCAGAGCGCTGTTCACCAGTGTCCCACTGTTCGCAGCTGCCCAGAGTGTCATGTTCTCCTCAGCCACTGGGGGGGCTGTAACAACATGGTGTGTCCATATTGTAGATGTACTTTCTGTTACCGATGTCTTGCGGTCAGTCTCCATTATAGCACCTCGTGCAACATTCAGCCTAACCCTTCCATCCTGTAACAACATCTCCCCACCTCCCCCCACACCCCCAACACCCCCACACCCCCCAACCCCAACAATCTCAGGCCGCTTGGCCCCTTCTTGTCACATCTCTCCACTCAGCACAACACCCCAAACCACCCACCCCCCCCCGCCCATCCCATAGTGCAGCGCTCCCTCAGCACTGACCCTCCAACAGTACCCGTTCCCTCAGCACTGACCCTCCGACAGTGCCCACTCCCTCAGCACTGTACCTCCGACAGTGCCCGCTCCCTCAGCACTGACCCTCCGACAGTGCCCACTCCCTCAGCACTGACTCTCCAACAGTGGGGCAATCCCTTTTAAATCTTTTCCCTCTCGCCTTAAACCTATGTCCCTCTAGTTTTCGACTCCCCTACACTAGGGAAAAGACCTTGGCTATTCACCCTATCCATGCCCCTCATGATTTTATAAACCTCTATAAGGTCCCCCCTCAGCCTCCGACGTTCCAGGGAAAATAGCTCCAGCCTATCCAGCCTCTCCCTGTAGCTCAAACCCTCCAATCCCGGCAACATCCTTGTAAATCTTTTCTGAACCCTTTCGAGTTTCACAACATATAACAGGCAGACCAGAACTTCTTATAGATCTAAACATTTGCTGTTATCTTTCACTTTCCCTCTCTGTCTCTTTCTGTCTCTGTCTCTTTCTTTCTCTCTCTGTCCATTTTTGGGTTTATCCTCGCCTCCCAGACCAGGGACCGCTCCACAATCCATTAACCTCACTGGATAAACCTCGATCCATCTCAACCGTCCTCAACTCCTCATGGTCTGGGAGACTGAATTAATTAGGATTATATTCACTGGAGTTTGGAGGAATGAGGAGTTGAAGTGGTTAGATTCTAATAGAAACTGATAAAACTCTAACAGGACTAGACATGATCAACACAGGAAGGATGTTCCCGATGACCAGGGGAGTCCAGAACCCGGGAGGAGGTGGGAGGGCAGTCACAGTCAAAAGGAGACAGAGTAGGACTGGGATGAGGAGAAATGCCTCCACCTAGAGACAGGGAGCTTTTGGAATTCTCTGCCGCAGAAAGCAGATGAGGCCAAAACATTGAATGTTTTGAAGAAGCATTAGAGATGGTGCTTGGAGCTAAAAGGATGAAAGGATATAGGGGGGAGAAAGAGGTAACAGACTATTGAGTTGGATGATCAGCCATGTTTGTATTGGCTGGCGGAGCAGGCTTGAAGGGCAGAATGGCCTACTCCTACCTTTTAGCTCCCCCATCCCTACCTTGGGTTAAACACTCTGTCCTTCAGAAGCCACATCCCTGTAACTGCCAGGGACCACACTGTTCCTTTCTGACGTGTTGCCCTGTTATCCAGCATGTCTCACAGTCCGTACTCTCCCGTACCGAGAATCTCCCCGTTTCATTTCCCTCTGCCTTCTCATCACCTCCACCAATTTCCTGCTTCCTTCCAGAGTTTTTGTCACTCGAAACTACTCACCAGTCCCAATGAGACCCTCACCAGCCTTCCAGACATTTATTCCTCTGCCCTATCATTAGACCATGAGATACAGGCAGAATTAGGAGACTGGGTCTGGTTTGTCATTCGATCGTGGCTGATATGTTTGTCAACCCTATTCTCCTGCCTCTCCCCTGTAATCCTTGATCGCTTAATTCTCAGTATATTCTCATCTCCCACCCTCTGGAGCAGGTCGGACTAGAGCCCAGGCCTCCTGGCTCAGAGGCAGGGACACTACCCAGGACAAAGCAGCCCCCGCTGGATTGGCACCACATCCACAAACATCCCACTCCCTCCCCCCACCGACCCTCAGTAACAGCAGTGTGTACCATCTACAAGATGCGCTGCAGAAATTCACCAAAGATCCTCAGGCAGCACCTTCCAAACCCACGACCATTTCCATCCAGAAGGACAAGGGGCAGCAGGTACATGGGAACACCACCCCCTGCACGTTCCCCTCCGAGCCACTCCCCATCCTGACTTGGAAATATATCGCCGTTCCTTCAGTGTCGCTAGGTCAGAATCCCTGAAATTCCCTCCCTAAGGGACATTGTGTGTCAACCCACATCACATGGACTGCAGCGGTTCAAGAAGGCAGCTCACCCCTACCTTCGCATGGGGGGCAGCTAGGGATGAGGCAATAAATGCTGGGCCCTGCCAGTGGCTCCCACATCCCATGAATGAAGTTTAAAAAGATGTAGATGTACACAGGGACCAAGGCATCCTTTTCAATAAGTCACTGAAGGCTAAGATGTACCTGCAGCAAGTTATTAAGAAGTTTAATGTGATGCGAGTGGATTTCTGTGCAGGAGTAGTAAAATCTTGGTTCAGGAGTTTGTTTAAACTGTGCCCAAAATACAGAGTGCAGTGTTCTTTTTATCTGAAGAAGGGTCCCAACCCGAAACATCAACCTTCCTGTTCCTCTGGTGCTGCCTGGCCTGCTGTGTTCATCCAGCTCCACACTGGGTTATCTCAATTATACAGGAGTTTGTTTAAACTGTGCCTGGAGTACAGAGTGCAGCGTTGGTCTCTGACATGGTGAGGGAACACAACCCTGCGGTAGTCACAGAGCAAACAAACTCTAAATTCCAACAGGCGTTTTTATAAAGAGGTCTGTTAGACGGCTGTGAGTGTGAATTCAATCTGCAAAATAATGTCACAGACGGACAGTGTCAGGGGGACCTCAAATGGAAAGTCTAAAAAAGAAGAGGTACTTGGTTAGCACCGTTACCTCACAGCACCAGGGACCCGGGTTCGATCCCACCCTCGGGTGACTGTCTGTGTGGAGTTTGCACATTCTCCCCGTGTCTGTGTGGGTTTCCTCCGGGTGCTCTGCTTTCCTCCCACAGTCCAAAGAAGTGCAGGCTAGGTGGATTGACCATGCTAAATTGTCCCATAGTGCCCAGGGATGTGCAGGTTAGGGTGGGTTGGCCGTGCTAAATTGTCCCATAGTGCCCAGGGATGTGCAGGTTAGGGTGGTTAGCCGTGCTAAATTGCCCCATAGTGCCCAGGGATGTGCAGGTTAGGGTAGATTGGCCGTGCTAAATTGTCCCATAGCGGCCAGAGATGTGCAGGTTAGGGTGGATTGGCCGTGCTAAATTGTCCCGTAGTGCCCAGGGGTGTGCAGGTTAGGGTGGGTTGGCCGTGCTAAATTGCCCCATAGTGCCCAGGGATGTGCAGGTTAGGGTGGGTTGGCCGTGCTAAATTGTCCTGTAGTGCCCAGGGATGTGTGGGTTAGGGTGGGTTGGCCGTGCTAAATTGTCCCAAAGTGCCCAGGGATGTGCAGGTTAGGGTGGTTAGCCGTGCTAAATTGTCCCATAGTGCCCAGGGATGTGCGGGTTAGGGTAGATTGGCCGTGCTAAATTGTCCCATAGCGGCCAGAGATGTGCAGGTTAGGGTGGATTGGCCGTGCTAAATTGTCCTGTAGTGCCCAGGGATGTGTGGGTTAGGGTGGGTTGGCCGTGCTAAATTGTCCCATAGTGCCCAGGGATGTGCGGGTTAGGGTGGGTTGGCCGTGCTAAATTATCCCATAGTGCCCAGGGATGTGCAGGTTAGGGTGGGTTAGTCACGGGAAATGTAGGGTTACAGGGATTGGTCATGGAGCTGGGTCTGGGTGAGACGCTGTTAGGAGGGTCAGCAGGATGTGATGGGCCAAATGGCCTGCTTCTGCACTGTAGGGATTCTCTGAGCCTGACTACTTAACCCTCCTCAGCACAGGGCCACCTGCAAATGGGTTTGTATTTAAACTTTCCCAGGGATGTACAAAAAGCAAGTTTAAGGGCGAACTTCAGCCCTGATCTGTACCTCTTAATGGCCTGATGTACTAGAGTGTGGGGTAGGGTGCTATTACAGCCTTTCGGAGCAGCCATGAAACTTCCTTGCACTGCAGGTAAAGAGAGGGGAAAAGACGCTCTCTCATTCTGGGGAGTGCTGATGGGCAGCCACTGTTAAAAAGAACCAGGACAAAATAAATCTCAATCAACAAACAAATTTTAAAGGCCCCTGCTCAGCTCTGAATGTCAGTATGACCGATACCACTCACTGTAACCTCCATCTATCTATTCTTCACCAGAGACTTAGAAACTAATCTGTATCTCTGTTTTTAACGTTCATTTTGTTTCGATCTCACTTATCTGGGAGTATGTGCGTGTTGCATTATCTTTTGTTTCTCAAGTTTAGTAATTAATAAACTCACTCTGTTGTCAACTCAAGACAGTCTGGTTAATTTGGTTCCATTTAAAATGTGAATTCCTTTGGTCTGGGAGAAAGGCAGCTAAAAAAGGAAGGAATCTTTTTAATAAACTTGATGTAACCAGCCAAGGGAGATTGAGTTAATGATTTGGTCTGCACCTCTCACAAGTTTTTATTCTTTATTCATTTGTGGGATGAGGGCGTTGCTGGCCAGGCCAGCATTTATTGCCCATCCCTAATTGCCCAGAGGGCAGTTCAGAGTCAACCACATTGTTGTGGGCAGGGAGTCACATGTAGGCCAGACCAGGTAAGGATGGCAGTTTCCTTCCCTAAAGGACATTAGTGAACCAGGTGGGTTTTTCCTGACAATCGGCAATGGATTCACGGTCATCATTAGACTCTTAACTCCAGATATTTTATTGAATTCAAATTTCACCATCTGCTGTGGTGGGATTTGAACCCAGATCCCCAGAATGTTATCTGGGTCTCTGAATTAACAGTCCAGTGATAATACCACTAGGCCGTTGCCTCCCCAAGGTGGGGGTAACCTCATTGGTTGTAACAAACTGGGCACCGGTTTCTACAATTTGATCCTGCAAGTGAATGAGTTTAAGTGGGTAAATGAGGGTAGAATAGAATTAGGGAATGTTACGTCAGAGGATTTAGAATTAGAATTAATTTTATTGTCACATATCCTCACATGAGTGCAGCAAAAATTTTACAAGTTGCCACTTACAGCACCATCTTAGGTACGAAGGTACTGAGGTACAGACTTTTCAGGACAAATTCTCATGGATAAACAAATTAAAAAGCATAAAGGGACCAGAGTTCAGAATAACAATCCTTCCAAACCCGACCACTCTGGGCTTCACCTCAAGGG